TAATATGAATATACGGATTTATAAACCTTATCATTTATTTTGTGCTTGGCTGTTTGTTTTAAAGAATCCTTTTCAATACACTTTTAGACCTAAAGGTTTAGTGCGGTTCTATATAGGAATCTAGGGTTCTCATCTCGATTTTAAAGAACCCTTAATGCCCAAAAAATTTTCTATATAGAACACTAGGGTTCTCGACTGAATTTTAAAGAACCCTTTATGCCAAAAAAGCTTCTATATAGAACCCTAGGGTTCTCAACTCGATTTTAAAGAACGCTTCATGCCCAAAAAAGGTTCTATATAGAACACTGGGGTTCTCGACTCAATTTTAAAGAACCCTTTATGCCAAAAAAGCTTCTATATAGAACCCTAGGGTTCTCAACTCAATTTTAATGAACGCTTTATGCCCAAAAACGGTTCTATATAGAACACTAGGGTTCTCGACTCAATTTTAAAGAACCCTTTATGCCAAAAAAGCTTCTATATAGAACCCTAGGGTTCTCAACTCGATTTTAATGAACGCTTTATGCCCAAAAACGGTTCTATATAGAACACTAGGGTTCTCGACTGAATTTTAAAGAACCCTTTATGCCAAAAAAGCTTCTATATAGAACCCTAGGGTTCTCAACTCGATTTTAAAGAACGCTTTATGCCCAAAAAAGGTTCTATATAGAACACTAGGGTTCTCAACTCGATTTTAAAGAACCCTTCATGCCAAAAAAGCTTCTGTATAGAACCCTAGGGTTCTCAGCTCGATTTTAAAGAACGCTTTATGCCCAAAAAATGTTCTATATAGAACACTGGGGTTCTCGACTCAATTTTTATAGAACCCTTTATGCCGAAAAAGCTTCTATATAGAACCCTAGGGTTCTCAACACGATTTTAAAGAACACTTTATGCCCAAAAAAGGTTCTATATAGAACACTGGGGTTCTCGACTCAATTTTAAAGAACCCTTTATGCCAAAAAAGCTTCTATATAGAACACTAGAGTTCTTGACACGATTTTAAAGAACTCTTTAAGCCCAAAAAGGTTCTATATAGAACACTAGGGTTCTCGACTCGATTTTAAAGAACCCTTTATGCCCAAAAAAGGTTCTATATAGAACACTGGGGTTCTCGACACGATTTTAAAGAACGCTTTATGTCCAAAAAAGGTTCTATATAGAACACTGGGGATCTCGACTCAATTTTAAAGAACCCTTTATGCCAAAAAAGCTTCTATATAGAACACTAGAGTTCTTGACACGATTTTAAAGAACTCTTTATGCCCAAAAAGGTTCTATATAGAACACTAGGGTTGTCGACTCGATTTTAAAGAACGCTTTATGCCAAAAAAGGTTCTATAAAACACTAGAGTTCTTGACACGATTTTAAAGAACTCTTTATGCCTAAAAAGGTTCTATATAGAACACTAGGGTCCTTGACTCGATTTTAAAGAATGCTTTTTGCCAAAAACGTTCAATATAGAACACTAGGGTTTATTAGTCAATTTTAAAGAATCCTTTATGCCCAAAAAGGTTCTATATAGAACACTAGGGTTGTCGACTCGATTTTAAAGAACGCTTTATGCCAAAAAAGGTTCTATAAAACACTAGAGTTCTTGACACGATTTTAAAGAACTCTTTATGCCCAAAAAGGTTCTCTATAGAACACTAGGGTTGTCGACTCGATTTTAAAGAACGCTTTATGCCAAAAAAGGTTCTATAAAACACTAGAGTTCTTGACACGATTTTAAAGAACTCTTTATGCCCAAAAAAGGTTCTATATAGAACACTAGGGTCCTTGACTCGATTTTAAAGAATGCTTTTTGCCAAAAACGTTCAATATAGAACACTAGGGTTTATTAGTCAATTTTAAAGAATCCTTTATGCCCAAAAAGGTTCTATATAGAACACTAGGGTAGTCGACTCGATTTTAAAGAACGCTTTATGCCAAAAAAGGTTCTATAAAACACTAGAGTTCTTGACACGATTTTAAAGAACTCTTTATGCCCAAAAATGTTCTATATAGAACACTAGGGTTGTCGACTCGATTTTAAAGAACTCTTTATGCCCAAAAATGTTCTATATAGAACACTGGGGTTCTCGACTCAATTTTTATAGAACCCTTTATGCCGAAAAAGCTTCTATATAGAACCCTAGGGTTCTCAACACGATTTTAAAGAACACTTTATGCCCAAAAAAGGTTCTATATAGAACACTGGGGTTCTCGACTCAATTTTAAAGAACCCTTTATGCCAAAAAAGCTTCTATATAGAACACGAGAGTTCTTGACACGATTTTAAAGAACTCTTTAAGCCCAAAAAGGTTCTATATAGAACACTAGGGTTCTCGACTCGATTTTAAAGAACCCTTCATGCCCAAAAAAGGTTCTATATAGAACACTGGGGTTCTCGACACGATTTTAAAGAACGCTTTGTCCAAAAAAGGTTCTATATAGAACACTGGGGTTCTCGACTCAATTTTAAAGAACCCTTTATGCCAAAAAAGCTTCTATATAGAACACTAGAGTTCTTGACACGATTTTAAAGAACTCTTTATGCCCAAAAAAGGTTCTATATAGAACACTAGGGTCCTTGACTCGATTTTAAAGAATGCTTTTTGCCAAAAACGTTCAATATAGAACACTAGGGTTTATTAGTCAATTTTAAAGAATCCTTTATGCCCAAAAAGGTTCTATATAGAACACTAGGGTTGTCGACTCGATTTTAAAGAACGCTTAATGCCAAAAAAGGTTCTATAAAACACTAGAGTTCTTGACACGATTTTAAAGAACTCTTTTTGCCAAAAACGTTCAATATAGAACACTAGGGTTTTTGAGTCAATTTTAATGAATCCTTTGTGCCCAAAAAGGTTCTATATAGAATACTAGGGTTCTCAACTCGATTTTAAAGAACGCCTTATACCTAAAAAGGTTCTACATTGAACACTTGGGTTCTTAAATCGATTTTAACAAAATATGATGCTCTTTGCCTTTAGTTCACAGTATAATCTTCATTTTAGACCTTTTGGATTTCGACAAATCAACATACCAGAGTCTCGTGACCACTAGCCCCAGTGTTATGGGTATAGCAATTGCAGAATGTTGTAACCAGTTTCATTTTCTAGTTGAGCATTAAGCGAAGGCCTTGTTCTGGGAATAACCCCGGGTCAGAGCCGGCCCGGATCACCGATACGCACTGAGGATTGGTCAGGATTACGGGAGAATCTGATGACGCAGGTCGTTCCTAAATGCTGTGGGATCAGATCCGCTCCCTGAAGTGGGAGAGATCCCGGAGGAGAGGCACTCAACCATCGGTGAGTGTTTCTGAACACACTGTTCCTTGATTGGGTCTTCAGGCGAGATGTAGAGAGAGGAACTTCAAAGAGCGTGAAGGTTTGGCTTAATCTCGGCGGACTCGGTTCTGTAGCGTTTCATCTCTGCTGACTGGAGTTCTTCATCAGCTTTGAGATAAAGGAAGCTCCTCGGGTGATTATTAGCGATAATGAAGAGTTACCAGTCAAAAACACTGGTGTCTTCAAGAATACAGTGAAATGTGTTACCGATATTGCAATTACACCCATTCACAAACTTTATTACACTCTTAAAAATAAAGCTCACAAAAGAGGGTGTTTCACTGATCACTTCTTAAAAGAACTATTTTTTTCTTAGTGTGAAGAATATTTAGCAATCAATGGGACCTTATTTTCACTATTAATAATCTTTTGTGCAATGGATTATGTTTATAAAGGTTCTTCATGGAACCAAATAAAGAATATTTATCCATCCTCGAATAAAGCGCTTTGTTTCAAAGGAGCGTCACACAGGAAAATAAAAGTGTTAAAGTTGCGTTAATCAGGACAGGGTGAATAAGTGAAGAAAAAAATCCATATTTATAAATTGATACACTGTAACCACAGGCTTCTGGTAACGGTCGACCGCAAGTTTAGTTCTAGCGGACGAGTGACCTCTGACCCCATGCATAACGAGTCACCTCTGAGCTTAGAAGAGCCAGGATATTTTTTAATACAATTATGTATCCTAGAATGTATATTATGGTTTAATTTTTTTTTGGAGTGAAATACTCCTTATTTTGTGCTTACAATGATTTAACATCAATAACCATGTATTTTTTGCTTGTATTTGAAGTAAAACCATGGTTTATTTCCATAAGTACTAACATGACATCATAACCAAGAGGGGATCATTGTAGTCTGACTTTGCATTTTTAACGTTTGTTAATTAAATTGTTTCTTTATTTGTTGCCTTTCCAACTAAACCCTTCCCAATCACAGGTTTAGATCCATTAAACTGATTGTTGATCTTTGGCTTGACCTCTGAGAGGACATTGATTTACTGTAACCCTATACGCTCCTCTCCCAACAGATACTTATAAACAATTACTTGCATTTAACGAGCTTGAAATATTGAAATATTTGCTACGGCAGTCACTTATCCTTGCTCAACACAGAAATGTTCCTCTATTTCAGAAAGACTAACAAGTAGGCTACCACAATCTGGATGTTTTAAATGCCTAGTTTGGCTACACAGGGCTTTTTTGGACATTGTATTATTTTAAGAATCTTGGATATATTTGAGACCCTTACAGAAAAAGTATTGCATGTCTTTCTTTGTCACTGTACTTTTGTTTTCACTGGTGAATTTCATATTTTGATGCTTAAGGTTCTCTACATTTTCCAAATATGCCGCATGAATATTTTGTTGTTTTTTCCTTGCATATGACCAACAGGAAACGGCACGACGCGAAGAAAAACGTCGCATCGCGCCGCATCTCTCTCTCTCTCTCTCTCTCTCTCTCTCTCTCTCTCTCTCTCTCTCTCTCTCTCTCTCTCTCTCTCTCTCTCATTCTGACCGCCTCTGATGGCGTTTAACGCGCGTTTGAGCATCACGAGCGCCGTCATCCATGGGGTTAAACAGTGTAGAAGGCAATTATTCAAATCCTGCAGCACTTCCACCGGATTCGGGCTGCGGTATCATAGCAACAACACCCGAGAAGCACACACACACATACACTAGAGAGACTCAGCTTCCAAACCCGAAGCACAACTCTCCGGATCAGAAACCTGCGCGCGCGACACTCCCCACAGCAGAAGAGCGCGAGTCGAGCGCGCGCGCGAATAAACGGCTGAGACGAGCGCGGGAATATTCCTGACTGGAAATAACGAACTTATTTTTTTCCACCTAAGCGCAAAATGTTCTCTTCAGAAGGGAGAAAGTTTTCGTTTAATTGCCCGAATACGAATTTATTAGCCATATTTGACGGTAAGCGACCGTTTATTGTTCATCTCATTGTGTTGATGGAGTAAATGCTTGGTCGATGAATGATATAAATGATTAATTTATCAACGCGTGACTGGGTATCTCCAGTGTTTTATGTATTTTTAGGGCTCGTTAAATATACCGAATGTCACGAGCTGTTACGCATGTTATTTTCTACGCATAAACCCCCTGGTTTTCCAGTTTCTGTTCAGTTTTACCTTCATTTTTGAAAAGCAGGCTGTTTTAAATTACCATTATTGGTAATTTCGTTTAATTCCTTCTTCAGAAAAGCCTTTTAATAGAAGCATGTAGCAGTAGCTCATTTTCAAAATCACAATTTTATGTGCAAATAACACTAAAACTATCATATTTACATATATTCGCCTGTTTTCACGATCCCCGTGTCTTTATTGAGATCGTTTGGATTTTTGGTAACACCACATAAAACTGTCATACACGAACATTAAGCTTAATTGACTATAAATGTCCTCATTATTGAATATCACTGATCTGTTAGAAAACACTGAAGAGAAGGTGGGTTGTTCATTATTGGTTATTGATTTGAAGGACTGAAAACTGTATATCTGTAGGCTACTAATAGTGAGGTGAACCTGTCAATGTTTCCGATTTATAAGGCTCTTGGGTCATATATGATCAATGCATGTTATGTTCTGTGTATTTCACTGTTAAAATCTTTCTTTTAAAGGTCTTAGATATGAAACGTACTAGTAAATAAATTTCAGTTAGGTTATTAAAAACCTTAAAGATCTTCCAGTGAGAGACAGTGTCAGGTATACAGTTGACTTCTTTGTGCTGAATGAGGACAGTGTTTTCTGCATGTTTGTTACATCACTGTGGTTGACATATTGTTTCCAGTCAGTGCAATAATTAATACAGAAATGCATGAGATGTGTGATATCAGAGCTTATTAATGCATCCAAAGTGCATAAGAACATGTTTAAGTTGACCATTAAAGTGCGTAAAGTGATTGACATGCATTAACCATGCAACAGAACTGACATATACAGTATATGCTGAAAAAACCACTAAGTGCTTCTTAGCTTACATTAGAGACGACAGCCGGTTGAATCAAACCCCTTTATTGATGAGAAGAGGGATTTGTTGCAACTGGACTGACATTGAAGCGCAGATTCCTTATTGTAATCAAAATCTGCATTTGAGACCAGATCCTTCTTTAGTCCGGGTCAGTAGCCTATGGATTGCATATTTAATTTGATGCATGTGATAATGAAACTGTGACAGTCAAATTGAATGTTCAACCTTTTTGCCCTCTAGAATTTCTTTTGGAAAGTATATTTTCAATGAACAAGTAAGCCCTATTGAGTAAACCGTACATCTGTCCCTCGCAGTCATTAGTTTCAATTAGACATGTCAATAGCAGTGAGTTCAGTAATGGAGGTGTTCTTCAACACAGGTGATCCAAACCTAATCTAGTTCGTAGTTTCTTGGAGCTTTATTGATTGTAAGTGGCAAGACTGCAACTCACACAATGTATAAACCAAATCCAGAGGAAAAACAGCATGGATTTTGCTTTTTTTTTAACGGCATATTATTCGTTTTCCGCCCATAAATGAATGTCAGAAGCATATGCTTGGGAAAAATTTGTGGAGTGTTATTTGTTGACTTGTGCGCCCCGTGTCTTGGATGGTAATAGCTGTCATTTCTAGCCCCATTACCTTTATGTTTCTCTACACTGCATGATGATGGAAATCATATTTCAGCTTCGTCTCTTTACTGCAGCTAGTTTTACACGCAAATTCATTCTGACAGTCTTGCGCAATGCTGTCATTTTGTGTTTTGTCCTCATGATGTTTATTTTCATCTCCTCTGCCCTTCAGATATGAATGTAAAGGTCATTGTGATCCATAAATCCTTCTCGCCCGTGTTTGAGATGTCAATTGATGTGTGAAGTCTCTGTGGATCCCGCCGCTCGTTTCTCTGTTCGCGCGGATCATCTGCTGTTTGCTTTGATGTGGAGAGATTCGCACACACCTTTGAACTCGCGCGGCCTGCGTGATCTTCTGTTTATCTGGACTGTCAGAGCGTTTTCAGCTTTATTTGATTAAACGTGGAGTCTTTCGTTGCCAAACACTCTCAGGAATTCATCAAATCTATAAAGCTTTGTGGTTGGAAATATAGAAGCAGTGCCAACACAGAAGTCTGCGAGCCTTGTTTCTTAAGGGCAGTTTGTTTTGTAATGTCAGTATCTGTATGCCCTCCAAGTTTTGATGTGTTCAGGCTCGACTAGAACAGGTTTTCCAGCTTGAATGTTGATTATATTCTCCATTGTTGCGGCTCCTTTCTTCCCAGTCTGTCAGTAACACTCAGTTCACTTCCTGCTTTATGAAGCCCCTCCTTCTGAAAAGCACACTGTGCTCTGATTGGTCAGCTGGAGCAGTGTGTTGTGATTGGTCGAGCGCTTCGAGTGTGTTTGGGAAATGTTCATTATGAGAAGTAACATAAAGATGTTCCAATAAGGAATGCATTTACTCTTGTAGAAATCCTTTTGAACCAATTAGCAATGTTTTTTTTCTGCATTTATTAACACTAATTTGCAGTGATAAAGGTTTTCAGGGTAATAATGCAGTACCAGAATGTTCATGAACATCTGAATATTTATGTCATTAAATATTCATGAGCTTTGTACAGCCATATGAACTTGACCAGCATTGTCTTTTGTCTCAATGTGTGATGAAAATAGGATGAAAAACACTGTTATGATTGATTATATTGTTGCAAAATTGTAATCAGTAGTATATTATCTAATAGCAAAGTTTTTTGTTACTATAGTCGGCCAGTTCTGTTTATAAAGTTGCATACAGTTACTATAAGTATATCCAACATTATCTGCATACATACAGTACACTCGTGTAAAGCAATTATAGAATCTCATTTGATTGTGTATATCATCTTAAAATGCAACCATATTGTCGCACGGCTCTAATCTGCTAAATGCAACTATAAAAGGCATGAAGACGTTAAGATATTATAAATATAAACATCAGAATTTTCTATGCAACTGTGTATATTGTGAAATGTGCTATACAAGTGAATTTGTCTTGATTTAAAGACGAGTGCATTTCCACAGATTGACCAGCCATAAACTTTAAGCATTACATTTAGTACAGGTCCATAAACGCTTATATTACTGATGAGTTTGGTGATGACAGGAGGGAAAGTGAATATTATATACCGTGTTGTGGATCTAGTGGGACGTCAGACGCCAAATACTGAGGGAGATAAAAGTGCACCGTTATTCACCCGATGTTAGCGAGTTAAATCACGAGTTTTCTAGAATCGTAGCTGTATGAAAGTCAACTCTGTTATTCTGTTTACTGGCTGAGAGATTCATGACTGACGAGAACATGTAATTACATGCTTCATGTTTACTCTCGTCGGGTTTATGAAGCCTCGGAGGGTCATTATCGTGTCATATCTGCTGATTCATGGTAAATCAATGTCTATCTAATGTGTTGAGAGACTTTAATAAGCGGGAAGTGGCAAAGAGAAATGGACACTCAGTGAGTTTGCGGAAAGAAACTAATTCACTTTTCTCCTCTTTTCTCCCCTGATGATTCAGGACTAATGAACCCTGGAAACTCAAATTTTCCTCTGGAAGACAATATAAAGATTTAATTGGTGCCATAAATTATTCTGCAGAAATGTGAATGGGTTCACGAAGGCAAGTGCAAAGTCTTGTTTTGATTAAGAATATGATATAAACATACAGTGTGTTATATATACCGGTGGACAGTTTCTACACACTTTAATGAGGCGGTGAGATCCTTGAGAAAGACTGAAGTAATTCATCTTTGGAAGTTTATAGGGAAAAAAAATATACTATGGAAGTCAATGAGACCAGAAACTGTCTGGTTACTTATATTCTTCTAAATATCAAAAAAAAAAAAATCAGCTGAATGGATTTGAAAATGGTGAAACTCGACTGTTTAACTCTGGGGGAGTGGAAAATTAGCCTAAGTGGAGTATCCCTTTAACCAAAATCTAATGTTGATTAAAATGCTAAATTCAGTATTACATTGTGTGCATACTGTAGATGAATATAGAGACACCAGAATAACAATATTCATGATTCTGAAGCTGAAAACAGATTATTCTAGATGAATATGATGATTTCTGTCACTGACTAGATATATTTATAATAATATTGGACACTTTTATCATAATTAGGACCAACAAATATTCCCCCATTGCATTATTATACATTATATTCAACATTATATAGTAGTTTAATGTAGTACTGACACTAAAACGTTTTATTTTGGGGTAACTATCCATGATACACATTGTTGCATCGTGATATATTGTCACACCCCTAGGACTCTATGATATTTTCAGCTGTAATCATACATGCAACAAGATGCTTGAACCTGTTAGCCTGTCGCTCACTCTCGTTCCCACAGTTCGTGACAGAATCAGCTTTTATGTCAAATCAACACCAAACAGAAAAAACAGATGCTTTTCATCTTTCTGTTTGGAGTCTGAAGTGAATCATATCATCTGTCTCCGTCTCACACGGCTTCTGTTCTTCTTTTAGTCATGTGTGAGTGATCGCTGAGTGTGTTTGTGCTGCATTAACCCACACTATCCTTATGGTGTTCGCAGGATCCAGCGCCTCGCTCCCACTCCGCACGCCGGAGATCCCGACGAACACTCGCCCGAGAAGAAGCTTCGCCGCGCCTGCTTTGTGTTCAAACTCTGAGCTTTCATCAGGATAAATGAGCTTCTGGGACGTCCATCTAATGAAGAACCAATAGGAGCACGGCAAATGCTGGTGTGTGACATTCGCTGAAAAATGGTGATAAACAAAAAGAAGTCTGTTCTGCTTTTGATTAAAAATACTGGAAAATTGTGAAATATTATTACTATTTAATATAGCTGTTTTCTATGTAAATATATAGTAGAGTGTAATTTATTTCTGTGATTTCCAGCATCATTACTCCAGTCTTCAGAGTCACATGATCCTCCAGAAATCACTCTAATATGATGATCTGATGCTAAAGAAACAACTGCTTAAATTCAAAAGTGACAGTAAAGACATTTATAATGTTACAAAAGATTATACTTCAAATAATTGCTTTTTATTCACCAAAGAATCCTGAAAAATTAAATGTATCACAGTTTCCACAAACATATGAACTGTTTTCAACACTGATAATAATCATAAATGTTTCTTGAGCATCAGATCCTCATATTAGAGTGATTTCTGGAGGATCATGTGACTCTGAAGACTTGAGTAATAATGCTGAACATCACAGGAATAAATTACACTTTACTGTATATTCACATAGACAACAGATGATTTATACTAGAATAATATTTGAATGTTTTACTGTATTTTTGATCAAATACTGCAGCCTTGAGACTTCTTTCAGTAAAACTTTTCACAGATAGTGTGTACGTATATATTTATGTGTTTTTGTTTGTGTTTAGCATTTATTATGATAGATTTAGTGAGTATGTGTCTAGTTCTCATGGCTTTTCCAGTCCACACTAATGTCCTCATGTTCTTCCCGTCTTTTCCAGGATGATTAATTGAGCGCCATCATGATTGCCACTGGGGGTCTTCTGCGAATATCTGCCCGGCGACAGGACTCCCTCCGCGCGAAGAACCGCGCCGAAAACAAGCGCAAGAGGAAAGCAAAGAAAAAGAGGAAGAACGAAGTGGTTGTGGTTAAAGGAAAGCTCAAGCTGTGTTCCATATCCGGACTGGTCGCTGCCATTGGGATTCTGGTGCTACTGGTTGGCGTCGCAATGGCTGTGATGGGATACTGGCCCAAACCCAATCCGCCGTATCTGGGATTGATGAACACATCGAGCGCTCAGAGGACGTACGAGAGCCGAGAGTTGGTCAATGTGACCGTCAGATGGGATCTACTAGATAAAGTCTTCAGGAGCTATAATGGATCCAATGGGACGGCGGAGGTGCATTCGGCTAAGCTTGGCGCGTTTGCTACGTTTATTAAGAGATATTTGTATTCCGACAAGCTGAAGGTGTTCGGACCTTTAATCATGGGCATCGGGATCTTCCTGTTCATTTGTGCGAATGCAGTACTTCACGAAAACAGAGACAAAAAGACCAAAATCATTAATCTAAGGGACATCTACTCAACGGTGATTGACATTCATAGTTTGCGGAGCAAGGAGTCCGGGCCGCTGAACGGTTTCGTGAACTACTGCCAATCGAAAGAGAACAAATCCCCGAATAAAGTCTCCTGGCCTTCTCCGGGCTCCGGTCGACACGACGCGAGTAGCACGAACCCATCCCGACGTCTGTCGACCACAGTCCCACGAGTTTCTTCTTTGGACAAACAGAGCTTTACGGACACGGTCTACAGTATCTATCAAGATCAGAAACGAAGCCCACCTGAGCTCAAACAATGGGAAACCAGAACAATCGTATCAACTTCCGTCAATGCGTTCACCCTGCCAATGATGAAGCTCAACAACCGAGGAGCGTCCGAAAGAAGGGGTTCGGATAAAACGGGAGAAGCCAAGAGAGAGTTTTTGGACGCCGAGGCCATTTGTAGACGTTTGGAGGATCTGGTTGCGTCTAGGACCATCACAAAGGCCAAAGTGGAACCGGCTCAAAGTCACCCAGAGCTTGCGCAGGACTCGGTGGAGGTTTATAGGAGTATCGGAAGTTTGCAAGGAGCTCCTCGAGTTTCTTTGCAGGGATCGCAGGTTCAGTTGCTTCCGCCGTGTTCTCCGGGCCGCAAAACCACAGGATCTCACCTGTCTTTAAGCGCTTTATCGGACTACTCCAGGTCTATTGATCTGGATATCTCTTGTATTCCTACAGAGCGGCAGGTGCGATCGAGGCGTCTCAGTTGCCCTCGACTGGATGGTCTCGGTGGCGGGGGCTACACCAAACTCGAGGGTCTTGGCGGCGAGTCCTTCGAGTCCACGGACAATGCCATGTTTAGTCATGGGAGCTCTGTTGAGATTTTGGAAAAGGACCACAATCAGACGGACCAAGAGGAGAGCGGCGTGGTCAGACAATACTCAAAGAAACAAAAACTCATAATGGTTTCTCAATCGGACACTACTTTAGAGGATGTGGAAATGGACAGTGTAGAAATTTAACTCGGGGATTCGCTATTGAGCCTCTTGGTTGAGAGGAAGCTAATGGTACGGTCACATTGGGGAAGTTTGTTTAGAGAATTTTCACAATTTCAATGGGAATTGACGGGGTTGGGAATTTCCCCACTTGGATTTCACATTGGTTGAGTCGAGGACCATCTCAAAGGCAAAAGTGCAACTCTCATAAAGGCTTATTATATTTCTACAGGTAAATTGTATTTAAAATGCACTCCATTTGATGGTCCTCGGAAAGTAATTTCAGCGAATTTTTACAAGGGAAATCCTGTCATTTCAATGGGAATCGACTCGATTTGGAGTTTCTCCTCATGGATTTTGCATTGGTAAAGTTTAGGACCATCACATAGGCCACAAATTTCTACAGTTAAATTCTAGTTACTGTACATTTCTACACTGTCCATTTTGATGGTTCCTCAGAAAGTAATTTTCACAAGTGAAATCCAGTCATTTCAATGGGAATTCACTCGATTTGGATGGACTTTGCATTGGTCAAATTTAGGACCATCGCATAGGCCACAAGTTTCTACAGTTAAATTCCAGTTACTGTACATTTCTACTCTGTCCATTTGGTCTTCAGACAGTAATTTCAGCAAAGTCTGCTTGGCAAAAAAGCTTCATCCTCCATTACTTTTGTAGTGATGTATGAAGAACAGCTCACACAAGAAACTCCTTTAAACCAAGCAGATTTCTGATGGTCAGATCGTTGCGAAATATTTCGCCCTCGCGTGGATTCCTTATGAAATGGCTGGATTTCCACTTGCCCAAATTCGCTAAACAACGCTAAATGCTACCGCACCTTAAAAGTAATTTCAGCGACATTACGAGCAGTGATGGTATTCAAAAGAGAGCAAACGTTGCCTGAAATGTTGTTGATATGTTAGACCCAAAGGTCAGTGTTTAATACTGTTTCCTCAAGGAACTACAAGCAAAAACCAGATGGGAAGTAAGTCTCAGACTTTCAGCATGATAGCACAGCTATGCTCCACTAGATTAAAAAATTTCCTTTATACTTCCAGTAGTAGAATATTCGTGGCTGTTTTGTTTAGCGGTGAAGTTTGGCTGTCTGAGCAGCATGTTTTATACTGTCGTCTACTTGCACTTTTTTTAACCACCAAATTACTGATTATTTTTAGAAATTGACTTGATAGCAATATCTCATTTGAAATGTTCCCTGCTTGTGTGGGAAATATTTATGTTTGCATTTTTGAGATGTTGACTTACACTTGTATGCTCTCAGTTTTTACTTTTTTTTTTTTTTTACTTAAATGAACTCAAACCATGAGTCAAATCCAGACGTTAGTTAGCAAGCACAGTGGTTCATGTAGTTCAGTACTGTCTGAAATGTAATATCCATTACAGTATATTTAAGATATCACGAGACGCTAGAGTTTTGGGGTCAGTGAAAGAAAGATTAATCATCAGTGTCTCTTTAAAGCGGCCCAAGGGAAGCAATGCTGCGTTCCATCCAAAACCAGATGTTTGAATGAGAAAAAAAAAACAAGTAACTTCTGAGGAAACAATAGTTTAGAGTTAAAACCAATGGTTTTAATCTAATTTGGTACTAGAGTGTTTGTGTGATCTGAAACAGGTCAGTTTAACATGCACTGACTAACAATCACAGTGCACATACTATTACTTTTACCAGTTTGGATTGGAACTTCAAGTGTTGTTCTATTTCGATTGGAACTGTGTTCTATTTCGATTGGAACCTCAAGTGTTGTTTTATTTTTCGATTGGAACTGTGTTCTATTTCGATTGGAACTTCAAGTGTTGTTCTATTTCGATTGGAACCTTAAGTGTTGTTCTATTTCGATTGGAACTGCGTTCTATTTCGATTGGAACTTCAAGTGTTCTATTTCGATTGGAACCTCAAGTGTTGTTCTATTTCGATTGGAACTGTGTTCTATTTCGATTGGAACCTCAAGTGTTGTTTTATTTTTCGATTGGAACTGTGTTCTATTTCGATTGGAACTTCAAGTGTTGTTCTATTTCGATTGGAACCTCAAGTGTTGTTTTATTTCGATCGGAACTGTGTTCTATTTCGATTGGAACTTCAAGTGTTGTTCTATTTCGATTGGAACCTCAAGTGTTGTTCTATTTCGATTGGAACTGTGTTCTATTTCGATTGGAACCTCAAATGTTGTTTTATTTCAATTGGAAATTCAAGTGTTCTATTTTGATTTGAACTTTCTGTGTTGTTCTATTTCGATTGGATCCTCAAGTTTTGTTCCATTTCGATTGGAACTTCAAGTGTTGTTCTATTTTGATTGGATCAAGTTTTAACTTCAAGTGTTTTGATTGGAACTTCATGTGCTGTTCCATTTCGATTGGAACTTCAAGTGTTCTATTTCAATTGGATCCTCAAGTGTTGTTCCATTTCCATTTGGAACTTCAAGTGTTTTGATTAGAACTTCATGTGTTGTTTTATTTCGATTGGAACCTCAAGTGTTGTTCTATTTCACCCCAGAATTGATTGGAACTTCAAGTGTTGTTCTATTCCATGAAAATTCCAACTGTGAATTGAACGGAACGCAGTTTGATCCATGAACAGCTTGCGGTGTTAATGAACAGACGCTCGTGTGGGAGTTTGTCTTTGTTAAGGTGTTTAAATATAACTTTAAACTCTACTAAAGCTTCCCGGGTTAATTCAGTCATTTTGTCTCCATTTGCCTTTAATAGAACAATCAGATTCTGCTAATTAATAAACGTATTGAATGCAACTGAAAACAATAGCAAGCACCATCTCAAACTGCTAGTACTGTGTCCGACTCTGTCTAGTTAAACACACCCTTAAAAATGAAGCTTCAGTGATGATCAGTTTCTAAAAGAATTATTATTTTTCTCAGTGTGAAGAACATTTAAAAATCTAAAGACCCTTTTCCACTATAAAGACCTTTTGTGAAATTGATGTCGAGCTTTATTTGTAAGAGTGTGTTTGATACTCCAGTATCTCTCCATGGTGTGTGTGTTTCTGATATGGTGTCAGTGAAATCATCCGTTTACAGATATGAAATATGTATGATGAGTGTCATTGTCCTGTAAGCAGGTCACTATTCGCACCAGACGGCCAGTGAAGAAACCAGAGGAGCAGAAGCTGTCTTCAGGGCCACGAGTGATTCCTCCTGTGCTTCATACATGTCTGAATACACTGGACAAAATATTAAACTCACAATTTACAAAGATTAGAGTATATATTTGTCTTGTCTTTAATCCCAGTGAGGTGAACGCGAGATCGTTTCTCTGCTCTGGTTTGACTGGGTTTCGATCTCAGGTTCTGCACTAACGTGGAAAAACAGTGATTTTCTTATTTAACCCTTAATTTAAGCATGTTTTCTTTTAAAAGTTGTCCCTTTGCCTCAATATAACTTTCCATCCTGTCGGTCCTTTGTAAAAATCCGTGACATCATCCTGCAGGAAGTGACATCATTTTGGAGGGAAAACCACAGAATAAACATCAGTAAGTATTATTAATGGATTTGACGGATTCTGGGATGTTTATTTGGTCTAGAATCTGAAGTGCCGTTTGACACACTGTATGACACGATTCAACTTTCAAAAGATTATTAAAATATGAATATTATCTTAGCTGATGTCATGTGGCTCAAACACCAGAACTTATGACCGTTATGAACAAACTTTCTTCCAGAAACGTCAATAGGACATTCATTCAACATTATCTGGTTCACAAAAACATTTTCATGGAACTTTTTTTCTGAAACGTTTTAGTTTGATGTTCGTCTAACATTTTCAAATGTTACTGCGTTCAGAGGACATTAAAAATAGCATTCCTTAAATGTTCCAATCCCTTAAAACTCATCTTTGACTACTAAAATGACATTAGGCCTATATGAATATGCAAATTAGCCCCGCCTCCACTCACTCACTCACTCACTCACTCAGAGATCCACTGGTTGACGATCACACACACACGTTGATCTGATTGGTTACATGGTGGTTTGTGACGTCAGAAACACCAAAGCGTGTTTTTGAGACTGTCTTTGGTTCACTGCAGTTTTAAGGAGGAAATACTCAGCAATGCTGTCCACTTATCAACGCACACATGGTGTGTGTGTGTGTGTGTTACAGCGGATTAAACACACCACATACACACATAAACAACATTAAACGCTGGATTTACACCACGGGGGACTTTAATCATTTTAAACACTGGACGTTTTGTACATTCAGAGAACATCCCGAAATAATTCATGCCTCAATGGGAACACTAGCAAAATGTTCTTTGATTTTGTTAGCTGGGAATATCCTGAGTCAGTGCTTAAAGTTAAATACTTCTGAAAGTCTGCTTTAATTGTGTAACCCATTTCAGTCAGCATGTTTGTGACCTCCAGAACTTTTTCAGATATAACCTTCAGTCTCTCTCTCTCTCCTCTCGGATCTGTATGTTGTATTTCTTCGGATCAATAATGCTGCAGTTTGGCTCACGGCCTCATGTGCTGCTGTGTGATTTATGCAGCGCTTTCCTCTGTTATCCTCAGACTGTCTGGCTCTTATTGTTCTGTTCAGAGCTGTGGTACTATTATGAGTCTGATGCCATTAGAGCGAGAATAATTAGCACCGTTTCTCATAAACATACACTGTAAAAATGAATATGCTTTATCTGATCAATAAAATTGTGGCAACAGATTACAAGCAATATTATTTATTGAATTGAACTAGAATTGAGTAATAGTTAATCAAATTAACATTCTAATGAATTCTAATCTGTACAATTTAATTAACAATATTGCTTGTAATATGTTGCCACAATTTTATTGATTAGATAAAGCATATTATTTTTTTCAGTGTGAGATTTACTGAAGAAACTAAGCCCTGTTTTACATGTAGAGTGTTGTGTGGTTGTCAGGGTGTTGCTATGCAGTTCTGAAGACGTTTCTGAGAACCCTATAATATATATATGAAGAGTTCAGATACAAAAGCCTCTAAATGCCATTTGAAATTTTCAAAAAAGTTCAGTAATTTCACTTAAATAACAATTAATAGGTAATTATCATTGCCATTTAAGTGAAATCACTGAACTTAAATATACAAGCTTGATAAAAATCATCATTAAAGAAGAAAATTTCAAATGGCATTTAGAGGCTTTTGCATCTGAACTCTTCATATATCAGTGATTCTTGGGAATTTGGATAAAACAGGTTTTAATTTTGAAAATAAAAAGTTAGTTAAATTACAAAATCTGAAGGCATATTATTATAAACCAAGGTCTTGGCTGTTCAGCCATGCACCGGTGCAACCTCCTCATTTTGTATTTTTTTCATAAAATAGGCGTTTCTCCAGTTATCACTTTGTTTTTGTCAACACCGTCAGACAAAATAAATAGCAAATTATTTTTTATTTGTTTGGTCTAATATGTATTTAGAGTTTTTAAATCATTATCTGGCATTCTTGGTACACATATATGCTGTTAAATGTTGAATATTCACTTTTGTTCATTTTTTATACTGTTTTGCGTGTGCTCCTTTAAAAGATATAACATCATACAACATTTACTTTAAGCCTAAATAGAAAAATTAATGTTGTTTTATTTAACAAACATATTTTTGTATTAAAAGAGACTATTACTTTAATAACTCAACAGCACTGAAGAATCATATTTCAAGCATATTCATTTAAAACAAATAAAACTCCTTCTGACGGTGGTGACTTTAGAACTGACGGTGGTGACATTAATCTGACGGTGGTGACTGTGGCCTCTTTACAACATACAATTCCACAATGTATACCACTCAAGTCAATCAATTCTTGCTTAACAACTTCATTTTCACTCTTTGGTCCAAAAAATAACAATCTTGAGCACTGTGATAAACATTTTTTTCCTTTTATGAGGTATTCCTCATTTGACTCTGCCTCACTGTGTATTTTCTCTCTCAGCTTTTTTTGGTATTCCCTGTTTCTTCTCCTTCTCTCCTCTACAGATAGCTGCTGCCTAGCCATAACTTTCTAAAATACATAAAGTCAAAGTTGAGTGTAATGACTATGAAATTGGGGGTAATTACAGCGAATGTTAGATTTGTTTAAATGATGTCATGCCATTTTCATTTGGCTTTAGTCATTGGAGATGCATAGCCTGAAATGTGTGCACTATGTGCATCCCAAATGACATAAGCCAAATGAACATGGCATAATAGTAAATTGAGAGAGAGGGAAGGCACACCTTATCCCCTATTGGACGATAGGCTGATGGTATAATTCATAAATATGTACACTGAACAAAATTATAAATGCAACACTTGTTTTTGCCCCCATTTTTCATGAGTTGAACTCAAAGATCTAGGACTTTTTCCATGTACACAAAAAGCCCATTTCTCTCAAAAATTGTTCAAAAATCTGTCTAAATATCAAGCGTAGTGTTAGTTCTGGCAGGTCACGTTAGTCAAGCTCGCATCAGTCGACTATTAGCTGATCAACCTCCCCCTATAGGAATATGACGCCTATCACTGTACACATATATAAGCTCCTTCAGTATTATCAGCAGCTATCACGTTTCTCAGGAGCTCATTACCCTCCTCCCTCCCCAGCTCCACTCGTCAGTCAGGACTTGACATTCTGATTCCCCAAGAATCTGAATAAATTCTCGAATTATATTGTACTTTAAATTTTGAAATAATCTGTAAAAAATTCATGTTGGTTCTGTTCTGTTTACCCCAAGGGGGTTATTGCTGCTCCTATCCATGCTAGGCTTTAACAAATTTTTAGTATGGGCAAAAATCTAAATGAACGTCATGAAACACAATTTAATCGCATCAAACGTGTTCAGATTAGAACTGCTGTATTCCTGCAGCTGAACCACAGCCGTGAGGATATCAGGAAACATCCTCACTCTCACTCGCGCTAATAGTAGCATGCAGTGTAAGCCTGTATGGAAGAAATATAGGGGGAATTAAATAAATAAAAATATTTACAGATATATTGGTATTTATTGTGATCAATAATTATATTCTAGCCTCTGTTATAGACCATTTGGGGGGTTTTGTCACCACCGTCACACGGTATGTCACCACCGTCAGATAGAAAACCTGACGGTGGTGACGTCTGACGGTGGTGACAAAACCTACTCTTTCACATGATATGCATGAGTTGTTCACATTATAGCCATCTTGTTTCCCCTCTGTTGCTAGCTACTTCAGACCTCTTCTTAAAAAGTATACAATTATGTCATAATCTAATCTAATATTTTCTATACAAAAGAGACGGTGTTGACATGTTATGGTTGTGACAGTAGCAGTGCCCAAATATATGAACAAGTTTAAGAGAAAATAGCAAAATTACGGGAGCTTGAGTGATCTTGAAGCATGCTGTAGAGCTGAATCTTTGAAAATGGGGTATGGAGGAATGTAGTTGACCTTGTAGTTGCCTGATTTTATTGCTTTTTATAAATATCTGACGGTGGTGACGAATATGTGGGACACATTTTGAACAACCACAAAATAATAGTAAATATTATTCAAAACTCACTGTTTGTAGTTTTTAATACATATTACAATGTACTCTTTTGTGTGGTAAATATATTATTCAATTCAATTATTCCTTTTTGTTTTTTTAATCAAGTTGAAATGATTATCTCCTATCCGAGGACAGCTGATTTTGTAGGCAATGGGCCAGCATATAATCATTAAAATAATAAAAATGAAAAATAAACCTATTAAAGAACCTTACATATGTGCAAAGGACCCCCTGATTATAAACTTTATTCTTTTCATTCATGAAAATGTTATTAATTTCCAACAGAATTAGCACTTTTTTTAGTGGGACATGTTTTTGCCAAAGTTTCAAGAATCAGTGATATATATATATATATATAACACAACTTTTTAAGTATCTTCTGCTCACTAAGCCACATTTATTTAATGATAATTGAAAATATTGAATTAAATATTGAAATATTATTCTATGTGGATATATAGTGAAGTGTAATTTATTCCTGTGATTTCCAGCATCATTACTCCTGTCTTCAAGGTTACATGCAGTTATTAGTCTGGTCTCTGTGGTTGCTAGGGCGTTTCTAATGTGTTTGTGTGTTGTTCTGGTCTCTAAGTCTGAGGTTTTTTTTGCTCTGTTAAAAATAATGACAGGAGGGCCAAGAAATAATTGCAGGCTTTCAGAGATTGCTGGGAAATGTGGAGACTGTTTATTAGACAATAAAGCTTTGAGTTTGAGGAAGATAAAAGCTGATGAAATTAACTGGATCTGATCAGTTTCTGTCTCGGTGTTGACTGACCGAAGAGATCTGGTGTTTCTCCATCAGGCTTTTTATTAGCAGAACCAGCAGAACTTTCATGGTAAACCAGTAAGATCATGGGTTTTGTAGCCGGTTCATTCTACAGCAAACACAGACATGTTCAGGGAAAGGGTTAAGCGCCTCAATCCCAGTAAAAGACGGTTTTAAATAGCTCTCAAACATCTGAATTGCCTTATGTAACAGTCAACAGTTGTTTATGTAACTCTGCCAAAACACACCCTCAATCTCCCAGCATGCACTCTGGCTCACATTCAGTTTCCCAAATTTCATTTATAACTGAGAATGTGCAGCTGCTAAATGTTTCAATGTTTTGCTAATGTTTCCTCTAACTCTTTCCCTGCCAGTTTTTATTTAGTCATCAAACTGTTTTTTTTCTTCATCATTTTCACAAAACTTTCATGCCCTCAGAATAATCTTTTTGTTGTATGAATAGAATATCCAAACATGCAATATACCAAAAGGAACAGAGTATCTGCGTTTAAACAACAAAAAGTTTTATTCTAACTTTATTTTTTTCAACACTTAAATAAAAAACAGCGTTTTGAACAAAAAGCTGAGAAAATAGCGTTTTTGTCAAAGACTAAATGAGAATAAACTAGTTTCTGCTGCTTCTTCTGCATAACAGCGCCACCTACCGTATAACTGTGGAAACACGGGTTGCCGGTTTAGTTATAAACATGTTTTTTTTCAGAATGTTCAAACCGTACATTTTAAAAAATGCTTTAAAACTTTTTTTTTTATGTAATGAAACATTCACTTTCCATCATTATTCAAACATTATGGTAATGTTACTTTTGAATGTTCTATGAACAATCCCAAACTATTTTTAAAAAAACATTAGACAAACTTAAACGTTTCAGGAAAAAGTTCCATGAACGATAGAAATGAGAACATTAGACAAGATAACTTTGTAAAGAACGTTAGTAGCCTATATTAACATTCTGATCCAGATAATAACAGGCCTATGCTCTCATACAGACATACTCATAATCAGAGATCAATATTCATTCATTGAGAGACGGTTTCAGACTTACTGACTCATTTATTCTTGCATACTAACGAGTGTTTCAGCATAATTGATGATTCTCAAGACGGTTTGTCAGACTGAGCCAGACAAACACTGATCTAATATTTCATCTGCATGAGTGTTGCATAATAATATATTCATATAATTCTGATCTCAAGGGAAGTTTTCACTGTCAGTTATGAAAGACTCAAAGGAATATGAAAGTATGTTTCACCACTCTAAACTTTGCAATAAACACGTTGAAATGGCACTGTAACTTTATTCATTTAAATGTTTTAAAGTAAACTATTAAACTAAAGTAAATAAATGAGTGAAACAGTACTCACGCTGCTTTAAAATCCTCTTTTACTCTGTTTAAAGCTACACTGTGTGATTTTACCCCCATCTAGTGGTGAAAAGGTATATGACCATCCAGTGAATATTAGTTTCTGTTCCTCTCAATTCCGATTTTGTTTTAACTCCTACGGTGGCCAATGTAGTCCAAGATTAACATGGCTTCCAGTTCGACCTCGTCCGTGAGTGTTAACTCAAACGTAAACGCGAAAGGCGAAGCTTTTTGTCCCTCTTTGGTTAATGTACTTTCAAGATGGAGGGGCAACATGGCGACCCCGTATGTATTTTTAATGGAATATTATACACTCACGAGAATACTTTATTACTTAAACGAAGTAAATATACATTAATGAGCACGTACATTTTTGAAAGAACTAAGTGTTTTTAGCTAAGAATAAACTAAAAGCTTTAAAAAAACACTGGGTTGTTAGCATATGGTTATTAGCCGCTAAAATGCAGATTCCTCATGTGACAACTTCTACGCCAATGAGATCGGAGACGTAAGTTTGATTTGTATTTATTAATTTATTTACAAAATTATCTGTCAAAATGTATTTAAACACCTACATTATATTCACGTTCACTTGTGCTTTGAATTCAAATGTAGTGTGTTTTTTATTTTATTTTTTGATGTGACGCTGCTGTGCTCGTCTCTGACCGCAAGAGGGCGTCGTTGTTCTACTGGATTTGATTATTGGTGAAGATAATAATGATGAAGCATGTGATTTTCTACAGAGTTCTGCATTTCTGTATTGATTTGTGCTGAAAAATAGGATCACATGCTTTATAAAACAAATTTCAATTGAGTCTGAGTTGCATAAAATGCCCTGACTGATCAATCGTAATGCTTTTAAGTCCGGAATGGATCATTTATCAGACATGAAGCGTCCCTTCCAGCTGAGCTGTATAATCCAGTCTGAGTTCTGTAACACTGCCCAACACTGCCCAGAGGAGCCGGATGTTTACCAGCTACAATTCCCAAAATGGACGGCCTGCAAATGAGCTCTGATGAATTAATTTCAGTAGAATTACTTAGCAATCCTATGGAAAGGGTTCTGGGTTATTTGGCAGATTAATGAGGTTTCAGGATGACTGGTTTGCTCAGATTCTGTTCTTCCACAGTTAAACCTGTGTAATCCCCCCTGAAGGGAGAGTAAAGCAGTGTGAGGTGTTGTGTCTGTATACATTGATGAGCATTTGAGACAAAAACGCATCGGTCAGCAACTTTAGAATCTTTTTTAAATATCTGGAGAAGGGTTATTCATATTATACGGCTTTATACTGTATGTTTGCACATATAGAATTCAGAAAACCTTGTTATTAGCGACGCTGGTGGCCGTTAAGTGAACTGCAGCAGTAATTAGTTGCTCGTGCTCATGCACACGTGATTTAATCTTGTTTTACAGTCGATGGACGTAATAAACTGAACATGATTCAAGATCCTAACAGAATAAACACTCAACAAAAATAGAGAGGGCAGCATTTTGAAGCAGCATCATGTCAAAGACGATGAGTTCATTATGGCCTAATTACACTGTTATAGTATCGGATATGGTTGATTTTCCCGGCAAAACCGTCCCGAATACTTCCGTTCACAAAATTTTAAAATAAAAAGTTTTTTTTTTTTTTTTTTAACAAGCTGATCACACATTGGCAATAAAAAAGCCAATGTGTGTTATATTCTAGTGCTGGGTAACGATTGATCGCCTCCAAAATAAAAGTTTGAGTTTACATAATATATGCGTGTGTGCTGTCTGCTGTGTATACTTATTTTGTATAAATACACACATATGCATGTATATATTTAAGAAACTTTTTTTATATAAAAATATGAATACATATGTGTGTATATTTTTATATACAAAATAATTATACACATGTTCCAGATGTCTGAGATCTTGTATTGTTCCACATATTTCATTCAGGATGGTCGTGTGTGTGTGTGTGTGTGTGTGTGTGTGTGTGTGTGTGTGTGTGTGTGTGTGTGTGTGTGTGTGTGTGTGTGTGTGTGTGTGTGTGTGTGTGTGTGTGTGTGTGTGTGTGTGTGTCGCTGGAGCTCGTTTGGAAAGCGTGATGTTAATAAACTCATCATCCACTCAAAGGGAATTATACATGTGAAGAGCGGCGGCGCGCATCTGTGCACGTCTGAAGGGCTCGAGACCGTCGGTGCCCGAGGAAACACTTCATATTATACCATGACAAAACAACTGGTACTAGAAACTATCATATAATTACAATTTTTTTTTAATTGATATTAAATTAAACATGACATTTTGAAGTATATATCTCTCAAAAACAGATTTATTAGGCTATGTTTTTATTTGTAATTAATAATTATTTCTACACTGTAAAAGATTTAGTGTTGGAATTACTCACTCAGAAATCTGTTAAATTTAACAAAAACACTATCGCTGTCAGCTTAATGTTTTCTTATAGTGCAGATGTTCTTATTAATCTAACTGACAGCAGTGTGAGCCAATCAGGATGCGCTGTGGCGTAGCTCATTAGCATAAGTGGGTGTGGTCAGTGTGTCTGCTGCCGAACATCTTTCTCTGAGCACCGAAGCTCCTCTTCATCTTCATCTCCATTTGATCTTCATCTTCACAATTACTGGATTATTGGATCGGAAAGAGTTGAAGGAGTAAAAGTCAATAAATAAAAGGTAAGAGTGTTTCTCTCTTTTCTGTTGTGATTATAGAAACACATCGGTGTGTGTCTGATATTTGTGTTTATGATGCGCGTTGCGGCTGTTTCTCGTTAGTGAGGGATTTAGTTAGTTCTGCTGAACACACACACACACACACACACACACACACACACTCACACACTGCTGAAGAGCTTCATTTATGAACGTGTTCATTCACATTAGTGTCTGTTTTATGCTCTATTTGATCTTCGCGAGATCCCGTTTCTCTGTGTGTTCTGCTGAACGCGTGTGTTTATGGTTATTTATATCTGCAACTGAATCCATGAGAATATTGAATGACAGATTCCATGCAGACAGGAATGTGGTGCGCGTGCCCGACACCACAGATGTCCCCGCGCGCCTCCAGAACGCGCATCAACAGTCCAGAACCGAGCCGAGTCTGATTCCATTGTTTGTGTGTATAATGTCGATAAATCATATGCTGTCATATCATATCTCTCTCTTCTCTGTCGTCTGACCCCGGACTGTGATGTGGACTCGGCCTGGATGTGTCTGAACGGTGAGTTTGTGTGTTTTATTCTCTCTAAAAGTCAAAAGATCATCATCTCTGCTTGTGTTTGCTGCCAAATATATCTGATAGATCGCTTCAGCAAATCAAAGCTTTTCAAGGAACCCAGTTAAATATTAAAATATATATTCAAAGAACGTTCCTGTTAAGTTTTTTGAACATTAGAGAAAACATGGGCAAGTGTTGTTATCATTCTGCAACGTTATGAGAACAGAACTTTTTATTGTATTATATTGTATATGTCATTATTGTCTTTGGCTCACCAGCACATAACTAACTATACAAGCATAAAACAAGAACAAAACCACAGACTGATTCACATTAGATACAGTTCATGCCACTGCCATTCGGTTTATTGGTTTATCTAATAGCATTTGGAATAATCATTTTATCATTCGGCTAACATTATGAGTATATTACTTTTTAATCATTCCTCAAATATTAATGGATTTTTTACTTTGAAAGTTGGAAAGGAAAGTGGAAAGTGATTTTTAATATATCTGAAAACATTAATAGAACGTTATTTTGTATCTTTCCTCAAACATTAATAGAACGTTACTTTTTATCTTTCTTCATACATTAATAGAACGTTACTTTGTATCATTCCACACACATTGATTATTATTAAAGACCAGCTAACTTTGCCGGAAGGTTGTGTTGGCGTTCTGGAGAACTGGGAATAACCAGCGATTGAAACATCTGGGCTGTCCTGGTTTTAACCTCTCGGACTGAGATTATCTGCTGATCTGTGGATTAAACCCACATCGCTCCAGTTGTAGAGATTAACCAGAGAAGTGTGTGAGTGTGTCTCTCGGTCTGTCGGTTTGCACTGAAGACTGGCGGCAGAACCTGAGCATGATAATCAGTATTGATCGAGTCTGCTCTTCAGGACAGACCTCCATTATGCCGATGAATGGACCTTCTGGATGCAGTTATTGCATAAATTATAGAAGAGCCTGAGCATCCTCCTCCAGCTCACTGAGATTGATTCCCGAACATCTCTCGTCAGGAGCTCACACACACACACACACACACACGAATGTGTTCATATGATCTCTGAGCTTCTGGATATCTGCGGTGAAGTGTGTGATTGGATGATTGTGATGTTTGGCATGTTTCCACATGACGTGAGACTCGTGTGTGTGTGTGTGTGTGTGTGTGAGAATGAATCTTCTTCCTGAGGTTGATGAAATATGATGAAAAGCCGGAGGAGGGACGTCATATACATGCATAGCCTATATATATATATATATATATATTCAGCTCTTATTGCACATCTGTGTTGTTTTTTCATATTGTTTGTTCGAATATCAATTGTCTTTGCGAAGGAATGCAAAGCTTTCTACTTTTACAAATTAATTCTTAATCTTTTTGGATTTATGACTAAAGCTGGAATTGATGAAGCTTCCTGAACTTCCCAGAAATGTTGTTTTAGTATCATTAATATGTTATTATAGTATTTAGACATATTTGGAGTTAGGTTTTATTCTTATATTTTCTGCCTTCATTTTCATTTTGAAATTTGAGTTAACCCTTCAGTAATATTTTTTTTTTTCATTTTCTATTAGTTTATTAGCTTTAAGTAAAATTAAAATGAAGGCTTAGTAATTTGTGTATGAGTATGTGTATGTGTATATATATTAGTTGCAAAGTTAAAAATTTTAGTTAAAATTTGAGCAATTTTGTTTGTTATTTATTTATATATATTACTTTTTATATATATATAAACTTATGATTTTGTATTTATTTCAGTGTTTTAGTATATATATATATATATATAGTTTTTTGTCATTTGAGTTCTTCTTAAATTGCACGAAAATTTGAAATGTTGTCTTGGTAAACTTGTTTGTTAAAAAAAAAGTTTTTGGTAAAAAAAAGTTAAAGTTTTACTTTAGTTTTGTTAAAAAAAATTATTAAATGATTAATATTTGATTATTTTGACTCTTTAAAAAAAATTATGTATACCTAATATTTATTGGTAAACTTGGTCTTGGTAAAAAAAAGTTTAAGTTTTACTGTAGTTTTGTTAAAAAAAAAAAAATTAAATGATTAATATTTGATTAATTTGACTCTTTAAAAAAATTATGTATACCTAATATTTATACAAACATTTAATATTTTTATTCAATACTTTTCAATTTTATTCAGTTAGCTTCTTTATTTCAATTTATATGTATACAAATAAATATATACACTGTTCTGAGGTGTATCCGTGATCGCTGGTGTTCAGAGGTTTAGTCGTGAGGACTGGATTACAGACAGAGCTGTGTGTGTGTGTGTGTGTGTGTGTGTGTGTGTGTGTGTGTGTGTGTGTGTGTGTGTGTGTGTGTGTGTGTGTGTGTGTGTGTGTGTGTGTGTGTGTGTGTGTGTGTGTGTGTGTGTGTGTGTGTGTGTGTGGTTGATCTGCTGGAGTGTATGGGTCAGTGTGAGGCCGAATCGCTGTGAGAATCTCACGGGTTGATAACACTGACTGTAGGGGACAGAAATAAACCATGAGTTAGAGAAGTGTGTGGGTTGTTCTGTGTAAAATCATTCTCTGTGTGACACAGCCATTACTGTGTGACACACACACACACACACACACACACACACACACTTGCAGTGCAGCTGCACACATTTAAATCCATCAGTTTCTGTGATCTGACCTCTCTGGTGTTCCCTGTAGACGATGTGCATCTGAGCTCAGGCTCTCATCTGGTGTGTTCAGAGAATAAAGCTCGACTCGTGTGTGTGTGTGTGTGTGTGTGTGTGTTTGTGTGTGTGTGTGTGTCGTCCTCCTGATGCTCCAGGTCCAACGCAGCGTTAAGATCTGAGAGTCTGTTTACTCCTGGAACTCATTCTGACCTGATGGGGTTACACACAGTATTCAACACAAGGTTAGGGGAATGACCATTCGGCTAAACAAACAAACAAACAAACAAACACGAGTGTCATAATGCACTTATAATGGAAGCAGACTTTTAAATATGTTAAATATGGTGAGTTTTGAGGGATACAATGATTGGGGGACTTCATTTTAATTATTCAGCACAGTATGTGTAATATGAGGTGTAATCTTTGTGAATTGGAACGTAAGTAAAGTTAGTGATTATTTGACACTGGTCTGCCATGTTAAACTAGTATGTTTACGTCTCAATATTATTTTATAAACAATTCAAAAATGTGACTATAATTAATAATTAGAGTTTTTTGTGTGTTTTTAAGCTCAAAAATGATCATTCTGTCATCGTTTATTCATGTCGATTCAAGGCTGTTTGCTTTTCAATCTTCTGAACACAAAAAAAAGAAAATATTTTGAGAAATGTCTCCATACAATGGAAGTCAATGGGGTCCAAAGTTGTTTGTCCTCAAAACGTTCTTCAAAACATCTCCTTTTGGAGTTTTATTGACGTGTTCCTGTGATCTTGATTAGTTTGGAGTGATTGACAGGAGTTGAACTCGTCACAGATGCTGTCATTCAACTAACCCAACCCCATCAGTACCCAGAATGCCGTGCAGTGAATGACTGTGACATGTGTGATGGGTAGTGTATGATCAGAAGCCCGTCTGTGGACGCTTGCACTCGCGCACTGATGCGATTAGAGCGTTTGCAGCGCGTCAGTAATCCGTCTGGATCATTTGATCTGAGCGTGTGTGACTGCAAACACACCGTGTGTTACAAGCACGCGCACACACACACTGTTCATGTTCGGACCCGGACCGTGAGTACACTCCAACAGATACCGACTGATTGATGTTCCTATGGCGAACTAACCACTGCACTGCTGGAGTCCTCTGGGTGGTTGCTAGGGTGTTGCTGTTCTGGGTGGTTGCCAGGGCATTGCTATGGAGTTCTGGCTCATTGCTAGGGTGCTCTACAGAACACCACAAACACAGTACAAGCAACATGGGGAAACTGGGAGATGATAATAATGATACACCACTGATTTGCCAGATGAGAAGTTTATCTACAGTATGTGAATGTTTACTCATCAAAATAATTTTGTAGCTGTAAAATCTTTATATCTATTTTAATCCCTATAATAACTGTTTAAAATGTTCCTGCTTTTATTTTGTTATTATTTTAATTCCTTTCTGTGTAAAGCACTTTGAATTGCCATAGTGTATGAAATGTGCTTTATAAATAATCTTGCTGCCTTGTTCTGAATTGTTTCTAGGTGGTTGCCAGGGTGTTGCTATGGTGTTCTGGGTGGTTGCCAGGGTGTTGCTATCGATGTCTGGCTCATTGTTAGTGTGTTCTGAGTGGTTTCTAGATGGTTTCTTGGGTGTTCTGAATGGTTTCTAGGTTGTTGCCAGGGTGTTGCTATGGTGTTCCTGGTGGTTACCAGGGCATTGCTATGGACCTCTGGCTCATTGCTCGGGTGTTCTAAGTGGTTTCTAGATGGTTGCCAGGGTGTTGCCATGGTGTTCTGGGTGGTTGCCATGGTGTTGCTATGGTGTTCTGGGTGGTTGCCAGGGTGTTGCTATTGATGTCTGGCTCATTGTTAGTGTGTTCTGAGTGGTTTCTAGGTGGTTGCTTGGGTATTCTTGTTGCCAGGGTGTTGCTATGGTGTTCTGGGTGGTTGCCAGGGTGTTGCTATTGATGTCTGGCTCATTGTTAGTGTGTTCTGTGTGGTTTCTATGTGGTTGCTTGGGTATTCTTGTTGCCAGGGTGTTGCTATGGTGTTCCTGGTGGTTACCAGGGCATTGCTATGGACTTCTGGCTCATTGCTAGGGTGTTCTAAGTGGTTTCTATATGGTTGCCAGGGTGTTGCTATGGTGTTCTGGGTGGTCCCTAGGGTGTTCTGAATTGTTTATGGGTGGTTGCCAGGGTGTTGCTATGGAGTTCTGGCTCATTGCTAGGGGGTTGTGAGTGGTTTCTAGATGGTTGCTAGGGTGTTCTGAGTGGTTGCTAGGGTGTTGCTAGGTGATTGTACTGGCCCAAGCCCCCGTCCAGCCCTCCCTGCAAGAGCTTTTGTTTTTCATTTAGATCTGTTTACTCTATTCTAATG